ATATATATATCAATGAATTTAATTTGAATTAAATTGAGGCCTGGTTTGGTGCAGCTTTATCTTTCAAAAAAAATATTTTAAAAATAATTTTACAAGAGGACTTCTCAAAGCAAAAATGACAATCTTTATTGCAACTTTTTTCCACATAGAATAACAAAAAATATCCAGAATGAATAAAAGTATTACGACAACATGTTGGGAAGCAGAGGAAGGGTAATTTTGATAATTACATTAACGAAATGACAGAAAATAACGAAACACATCAAATATTTCGCGATCTGAATGAACCATTTTAACTTTATCACGAAAGGAAATTACCGAGAAGTTGCTAACCCAAATTAACTCCTCACATTTTTCTAGTATTTGGTTGAACACAAAAGAGCCGAAATGTCTATCTGAACAGAGAAAATATCATGTTCAGTCATTCACACATGCAGACAACTAATCGCTGACAAACAAATTGACATAGTCTGATACCCCTCAGCATATATGTCGAGTTGTCATCTAAGTTGGTCATCCACGTATGAGAACCTCCTTCGAACAGTGTGAGCTAATTCATTTTTTAACAACACCCTTAATTTCTATATTACACATCCAACCAAAAAAAAGTCATTGAAAAAATGCAGGGTAGTTTTGCTATTTCGGTAAGAACTAGGGGCATTTATGGGACTGGGCGACATCATTGACCTGTTGACCAGGAGCTTTTTCCGTACTTTCAACACAGTTTTACCTTTTCAAAGTTTGGTGGCATAATACCCCTTCCAACCTTCTTCCCTGTGAGGAGAAGAAATCCGCTTTGCGGTTCTCTGTTCTTTGTGCGATCTCGCAAGATTCTAGGGTTCGGCGAAAGGTTGGAAGATGAAGCAGAAGACGCTAATCTATAGCTTCGTGTCGCGGGGAACGGTGATCCTTGCGGAGTACACGGAGTTCAAGGGCAACTTCATGGAGATCGCATCGCAGTGCCTTCAGAGGCTGCCGGCTACCAACGACAAGTTCACTTACAGCTGTGATGGCCACACCTTTAACTTTCTTGTCGAAAATGGATACAGTGAGTGCACCGTACTCTCTCCGTTTCGTTGGTTATACCTAGCTTGTCGACTTCTCTATCTGGCTTTGATTTTGTGTTGATTTGTGGTAATTTTGATAGAATCCTGCTAGTAGCTGTTGATTCTGTTAGACTAAGCATTTAGTACTTACTCAATTATTGATTGATTAAGAGTTCATTGCCCGTGGTTAATTTCTTGTGATTTTTTTTTTCGCTTCATTGGGATTGAGTTCTAGTTTTTGCAAACAATGTCTAGATTCTGTTATATGGTGCTTAAAATGATTAATCTGATACTGATTTTTCTCTTTGAAAAAAAT